ACCTTCTGGGTGACTTACAGTCAGGTGTGCATTTAAGCTGAGACGTGAACCAAACCCACCCAAGTCTGGGATCCCGAGTAATTCTCCCTCACCATCTGCCACCCCACTTTTAAAAATCCTTTGTCTTCCTCTTCATCCAAGGCCTGTCCAGCTCTGCATCCTCCTTCTCCCTGGCAGATGCAGTGCCAGCAGCAATCAGCTATGTGCTGGGCCATTGCCTCCTGCTGCATCTCAGGGCTGTGCTAGACTGCTCCCATTCCCGAACCACGAAGATGTGGAGACCCTGTCTTAATCTACTGCTGTTTTCACTGTGTGTTCAGAAAAGCCCCTGGATTAGGACAGTGAGAGTCAGGGGAAAGGACCCTGGTAGATTTGTGGATCCTTGGAAGTAGGATGGCAGGCAATTCCACAGCACAAAACTAGGGACGCTGACAGAAAGGAAGGCTAAAAGAAAGGAAATCGGGAAAGCTAAGAGGAAAAATAAGGAAAAAAACCACTCATAAGATGGGCATGAAAGGAAAGAGGTGGCTCAGGAGCAAACAGCAGTGGCAGAAGGCAGCGCGAGGAAGCGACGCAGCGCCAGAATTGTCTGGCAGAAGCTTGTCCACTGCCTGTGCCCTGCCTCACTTTGCTGTCAGCTCTTCATTTTTGCAAACACTGAAACTGCACTTAACTCTCATGCGCTGTTCAGATATAACAAGCTGGAAAGGGAACAGATCAGCTCATTAATTTTCCTTGGGAAGGGTCTCTAGGCAGGAATTATTTTCTGCACCAGCATCCATTCAATTATTTGCCTTCACACCAGTCAGATCTACAGGGATGTCTAACCCCATGCGCATCACTCATGCCTGCCTGCCTGCCCTGGACTCTTCTCTCCCTCCTTCTCAGTATAAAAGCCTCCCAGACCTATCTCTTTCCTAATAATAATGACAACATGACAAAACCAATAACCTACAGATATAAAATACATTTCATTTGCTTGCTTCATAAGACCCTGATAAGGCATCGTCGCTCACTTTTTGAGCTCCTATAGGAGATCTACAGGAGCTAATGAAAGAATTAGACAAGGCATCACTCATAATAAAAAGTGGTTTTAAAGCATTTGGTGCCAAGAAGGAATTAGGCTGGAAGATCCGCAGCCATTTCAAAGTTGTAAGAGGTGCAGTATCCATGTGTGGCATGAGCTTGCAGATCTCAATTGCTTGGTGTACGTGTGTTTTGTGCCTACGCAGTTAAAGGGCTGAAAAGGGCCATTTTTCTTGAAGGGCAAAGATTTTTAAATGGCCTAGGGACACATTTGAGCAACCCCAAAGTCTGAGAAAGAATTAGCTCAAGGAAGATTAGGGAAAAAAAACCTCAGAAGTGTGATCTGCAGTAATGTGAACTGACACCACCTTTCTGCTTTAGCCACACCATGGAGCAAGGGCTCACTGTAGGACACAAGAAAGGGGGGAAAGAAATCCTGATAGAGGAGGAATATCCCAAATGACACTCCTCTTTGGAGCAATACAAAGATCTGAAAATTCTGACTGACACTCCACTGCAGGGAACAGAATGGCTGAAAAGAGGGGAACCTGAAAATTGAAAGCCCGAGGACCAAATTCTCCAAGAGGAACTTGCAATTCTGACCGCAGCATATCTGTGTGTACAGCCCGAGACTGAGTCCCCACATCCGTTTTTGCTACTGGGTATCTTGGCCAAGAAGAGAAAACACAATTTAACACAATATTTTGAACACAAGGAGTCCACCATCTCTGACAGCCTACAGTGTTGACTAATGCCAGCGTTCCCCAACATCCCCAGAAATGAAGACAACCTCGTCAGAGGCTTCCTACCAGTAGCAGGAGGCAGTTTGGGCTCCTTCTTTGATTATTTTCTTGTTACAAAGCCTCCTGACCTCCTCTTCAGTACCTCCCCTCGCCCTACAGACCTGCCCTGACAGGTCTGACCCCGCGCAGCAGAAGCATGTCTGTCCCAGACTCTTTATCGGGTGCCTTTGCCACACTGTGGGCAGGGTGTGAGCAGAGTCCAAGGGTTTTGCCCTTTTTACAGCCTCCTGCGACCAAGCCCTTCCCTCCACAAATCTGCACACCCTCTGCATCATGGGGGAAAGGAGCCTTTGCTGCACCCTTCTCCCTCCCGCTCACCAGCAGGCAGCTTTCACAAGGGAGAACGAGTCAACCAGGGACACCTTTCTGATTCCTTCACCCGAGAAAGAAGATAACCCCCCCTAAGGTGATCAGACGCGACAGTAAGAGGCCTGCCATCCAGGGGATGGTGGGGATAGTTAGCTGTGCTCTCCTGGGGACAAGAGAGTGCCAGACACCAGCCCATGCAGGCTGTGGGGCTGCGTGAAGCCAAGTGGAGGCAATCCCGGCAGCAGCGGTGCCAGACCTGTGCCATGCCACCCCATGAGGCAAACCCGGGCCCGGGCCCTGCTCAGCGTGTGGCCATAGGGCCGGTTTTGCCTCCCACTGAGATGCTTTTGCTACCGAGCCTTTATCCAAGTTTTGGTGCAACCTGTGCCCCCAGGCTAGGGACTCAGAGCTGGGTTCAGCTCCTGTGTGGTGCATTGCACCCTCCTACCCCACTCGCCACTTCTGCCCAGCATCCAGGGGCTGGGGGAAGAGGCCAACCCAACCCTCAAACGGCTGGGGTGAGCGAGAGCACCCTGCCAGGGCCATGCAGCTTGCGCTCGGGCTGAATTTCACACCCCTCGTGCAGGGCTGCAGTTTGAGCCCGTTGGAGAGCATCAGCAGGGAGGGCAGGGGGACTGGGCTGGCAGTGCAGCGTCGGGGGGGGCTGGGGGCACTTCAGAGCTTTTAATTGGAAGCATCCTGGCACTTTCCTTTGCCATGCAAGCCACTTCTCCACAGTGCCTGTGGGGTCCTGTCAGATGTAAAGGAGAAGGAGCCCTGAGCTCCTCCGATCTGACAAACCTCACCCGCCCCTTCCTCCTCCCCCTCAGACCGCGTCCCTCTGGGTACGGCTCTGTGGGCAGATAGACATGATCTGAATTCACTGCCTCTCCCAGCCAGGGTCCTCATACCTCCTGTCTCCACCCCAGCCTCCCTCCGCCCTCCAGCTTGGGGACACGGCTCAGGAAGGGAGTTCTTCCCCGCAGCCTCCCTTCCCTGCATGGCTTTGCGTTTGGGCTTCCTTTTGTGGTTTTTTTTTTTTTTTTTTTTCTCCTTCCCTCTCTCATTAATTTTTAATTAAGGAGATGTCTCCTTCCCCAGCTGTAATAAATAGCTGTGTGAAAGGCTTTTCATTTTTATTAATATATACCTCTCTATATTTATCTATTTAGAGGAAATGTGTGCGTGTGTGTGAGCGAATGTGTTTAAAACATCCTCCATTAATTTACTGCTATTGATTTTCTGGCGTGGAGACAGCATATAGTATTCAGCATAGAGCTCCTCTGCAGGATATGTTAAAAGGCAGCAGTTTGGGTTGACAAAGGGCACTAAATGCAGTATGCGTCAAATAGACCATCGCTCAATGAAGTCACTTAGCTATTCAAAACATGTCCAGCCATCACTCAACCGTTTGCACCAAGAACGGGGGGGAAATTCGCGCTTCTTCCCGGGCACAACCATTTCCAAACAGCAGCTTTAGCTTGCTTTGGTGAGAGACATCAGGACATACATAGTTTATTCCCCCTCCCCCCTGCCTTCCATCTCCCAGTGCCAGTCTTAGAAAATCAGTTCTGCGGTACCCACTCCCCGTTCTCTCCCATCGGGGAGCTCCAGGCACACCCAGCTCTGGTGGACACCGACAGACACAGACATTATCCCTGGATGTCCATAAACCCCCGGCAGCCCACCCTCCAGCTGGGAGCTGATTCATAAACAGGGCTTTTACAATGGGCTGCAATGTGCACGCTTGTGCTCTCGCTCTCTCCTCCTCGCTACGTGTGTAACATAAACCGCACATTTACATCGGTTGCCCCTATCCCTCCAGCACAGGCTGAAGACCACCTCCCCAGCCCACACGTTCGCCAATAGCAGTACTGAGCAACACATATTTAAAAGCGAATCACTGGCCCCTCTTTTCTTTCCCCCTCCCTTAGGAACGTCTGATTCCAGAAGTTGGCTGCGGCGGTGTCTCTTCTGCCATCAGACATGTCACTGAGTTGCTGTTCAGTTTCACCACATCAGACTTAGGCTGATTTTTTCCATTCCGAGACTTGTTTATTTTTAGCCTTTACCATAAACCTTAAAAAAAAAAAAAAAAAGCCCCAAACAAAAACCCACTCCCCAACAACAAACAAACAGGGGGAAAATCCCAGCCCCAAACCAAACCAATCAGCTGCCAACTAGACCCCTCTGCACCCAGCCCAGTGAGATGTGGTGGCTTACAGACATTACGAAATGCTCTGAACTCTGCTCGAGATGACTGGAATCGTTAGATTTACTGTAGGAGGCAATTTGGACATAACAGGGTTGTTTCCTTTCTCTCTTTTTCCCTCCAAAAGTGAACCGATAATTGTATCCAAAGTGCTTTGCAGTCACCCCCTCCCCACATCACCCCTCACTCCCGGTCTTGTCTTTGCAAATAAACCATTTGCAAAGAGAGCAATTATTTCACTCTGTGGTTACAGCCGGAGCACAGCAATAACACAGTATTTTGGCATTGCTTTCCCAGGCAATACAAACAAGCTGAAGACAGACAGACCGCACAGTTGTTTTTAGAAAGGGTCTCTCGGTATTTTTGTAACACACACATTATTCCAGGTGGAGGGAGGAAGTGAATTTTAGGGGAAGGTGGGGGAGGTGGGAGGGTGGGGAAGAGGAAGGGAGAAGGGAACGGAGCAGAGAATGTTTTGCCTGTCTTCTTGCCTCTGTGCCCTGAGTAACTGAGCCCACCGCTCTCGATCCGTGGTGAAAGGAATGAAGTGAGAAAATGGTGGAATGTGGAGGGATTTATTTAGAGGGGGGAGAAACATGGGGTGGTGGGAGAGGAAGGGGGGGTGTGTGTGGAGATCCAGAATCAAATACCTTCCAGGCAGCAGGTTCTCCATAATCCAGAATGGGTCATGACTTCCTCGTTCTTTTTGCTGGTTTCGTTCTCACTGACAGTTTTAGTCTTGCAAACCCCTCTGGAGTAAAGCCAGTAGTCGGTCCCCACAGCTATGGTCATCAGGCTGAAGGCAGCGAAAGCACCAACGGTGGTTAAAAGCATCTGAACACCTCTGTCAAAGAGCCCCATAATTCTTCATTATACAAATACCCAACCGCCTTCTGATTCTTGGGGTGTGTGTGTTTAATAAAATAAAAGAATAATAATTCCGACTAATAATATAATGGGTATATATAGAGAGATAGATATCAAAAAAGGGAGGTAAGAAAGCCCACGGAAAAGAGTGTAAATTAGAAAGACCACACGGGAAGAGGCTTGCCTTTTAAATCGGAAACGTTCTGGTTGAAATATAAAAAAAGGAAAAAGGAAAAAGAAAAATAAAAGAGAGAAAAGAACCAAGAAAAACCAAACAAATAAAGAGAGAACCCCCCCCAAAACGAGACGCCTTAATCCCTTTTTCTAAAATTCTGGTCTCCAGTTTCCATATGTAATGGCTAATTTGGAGATGGCTTCCACAGTGAACAGGGGAGCAGCAGCAGCATCCTCAACACAATCTCTCATTATCTGGACCTAGACAGTTAGAGACTGTAAGAGCAGAGATGCAACCTTCAGTCTTCTTGCTTAGCTCTGCAGCCTGCGCCATGAAAATCCTTTTCCTTCCCAGTTATCTTCCTTGGGTTTTTATTTTTTTTTTTTTTCCCGGCAGCGGCAGTCGCTCCAATCCTCTCTCACTTTTGCTTGCTTGCTTCTCCTTCCTTTCGCTCGCTCCTACCACCAAGCCAGACTGCCCAGTATACTGTAAGCCCTTGATTTCAGCTGAACAGGTGCCGAGGTCTTGCCTCCCATGGCTTTTCTGCACAGCCGCGGCGCTCACTCCCGGCGGAGGTGGGCGAGGAGAGATGGGGGCTCCTGGGGGG